CATAGAATGAAAATTTATCGGCAGAAATCATCAGCTAATGCGCCCAGCACTCCATGTCATCACATGCACTAACTGCTTTGCCGTCCACATTCTCGCAACTATGAGTTATACGATATTTCTAACCCACTGTCCTTCCACCTCTCCCCAGAACGACGGTCTGAAGCTGTGGGTGGCCGAGGGATGTCCTCCCGACAAGCTGATTGTCGGCGTGCCCTTCTACGGCCGCACCTACACCCTGGGAAGCAAGGAGTCCACCGGACTGCGGGCCGGTATCAAAAAGTGGGAGGGCGGTGGCAAGCCCGGCCCGTACACCAACGCCAAGGGCTTCCTGGCCTACTACGAGATCTGCACCAACGTGGGCAAAGATGGCACCTGGACCAAGAAGTACGATGACATCGGAAAGTGCCCCTACGCGTACCATGGTGAGTAGTTCGACTTACATCGACCGATGCAAAAATAAATATTTACATGACCCTTGTAACATTTACACAAATAGGCGTATTTTATCCAGCTGTAATTGAATTAAAAATGCAGCATTCTTTGTGCGATGAACTAATCTCCGCACGATACACCAGTGACAATATCCGGCCTTTTCAGAGGACCTGTGGGTGGGATATGAGGACGAGGACTCTCTCCAGATCAAGATGGACTTCATCCGCGACAACCAGTACGGCGGCGCGATGGTCTGGGCCATCGACATGGACGACTTCCACGGACTCTGTGGACCGAAAAACGCCCTTATTGAAGTATTGAACCGCAACATGAAGGACTACAAGGTAAGCACTGCATAGCCCAACATCATCTCTATTGTTCCAACTTCTTGACACCGCCTTCACCTATACGACGTTTATGTATTTGGCCCATTTGTGCTCCCTTTTCAGTATGATGCCACAGGCAACGAAGCCCTCATATGATAATAGATGTCCAATACAAATTGCAAGAGCAATGTTTTGGGCTATCAGTCTTCCGTTGATCGAAGTATAACCACGCGACCTCCGTCTCCTTCAGGTGCCGAAGCCGGTCGGGTTCGTTCCGAAGCCGCCGCCGAGCTGGCAGGAGCCGTTCACCATGCCGGAGCCTTTCGACGTGCCCGGCGTCACCCAGGAGGGCGCCATCGTCACCGAGGCCACGACTCCCGCCACGACGACGACGACGAAGACGACGACCACCACCACCACCACCGCTTCCTCCGCCCCCTCGGGAGCGAGCGAGGTGGAGGCGGTAGCTGCTGCTCCCGCTCCGGCACCGGCGCCCGCGCCCGCGCCGGCGCCAGAGGCCACTGATGTGCCGTCCTCCTGTTCGGATGGAGACTACTTCGCTCACCCAGACTGCTCCAAGGTGGGTCACGACACATTTCCCAGGTCACAAGATTGCGCCAGGGTGGGTCACTTCACCACAGAACCGTTCAGTGTGAGTCACTCCGTTGCTTGATTGTTTCACGGGTTGGCCATTGTCCTCCATCAGCTTATTGCTATGTGCAAAGGGTACGATTGAAAGCGTTGAGCAAACTATGTATACTTAGATGTCAACCCAAATGAAATCATTTTTTAAGATGTAAGCGATAATATAATTCATAAAACATTCTCAGCTTTAAAAATGTAAGTATATCTTTGACGCATTGACTTACTAGGCTATTTGAAGTAGACCAGGTTGTCACCACATCAGCCAATTACATAGAATAAACACTAGGTTGACCCGCGTGCTCCGCAACGCGAAAAGGGATATTTTCGATCGGCGGGTGTTCGGTTGTTCTTGTGTCGGTTGGGTTATCTATCCATTTCGGTCGATTGCTTTTTGACGGCTAAACGTTTTGGTTTGTGGAAAAAATATCCACCGCATCGAGGTGCCCGTGTCTGATAAGCATGCTTTCCACTTCAGAATCTGTCAAATGTGCTTTATAATTTAGGCGCGTAGTTTTATGACAAATTAAAGGCGTAGATAATTTTCACCAAATATCGTTTTGCAGAGGCTTGAAACATTTATATTTTTAAGAATACTGTTGCTTGTCATACAAACGTGATGATTGGATCTTGGAGAGAATTGAATGCTCTTTCCAATGATAGCATTTTCAATTGTCAAATGTATCAGGTTAAGCAGCAAAATCCGTGTACTTATTTAGTGGCACATTTTGGACAAATACCATTTAATTCAGCGATTTTTTCCACATTGTTTTTGATCAATTAGCTTTTCACAATTTTTCCATGAGAGACGGTACATTTTTATTGCTAATAGGCGCTGTTTCAACTCATTCCGTCTGACGATCACCTGAAATTAATATAACTATTCCAAAATCCGTCCAAAACGTCCATTTTTCAAAAGAAAGTGTCCTCCCCGGTGCACGTGGCGCGTGCCAACCCCTGCACCGCACACCATTCGATAGCCCGTTCGATTCTCTACACGATGCTGTTTTCCCCGTGCCGATCGGGCGCACGGCTACCGAGATATTGCACCGGGACCGGACCCGTGTCGGGCAAATTTGGCTGTTTTCGCCCGTTTTTGCCAGCCGATTAATACATGTAAAGTCTATGACGCGAATTTGCACTTTTTGGGCACGCGCCACGCGCTCGCTATCGATCCGATCGAGCTGAGACCCATCAAAGGCACGTTGTCCATCCTTGTTCTATGAGTTGCGCAAACTTCAGCGCGGTAGGTGCAACGGTGTGACCTGTAACCCGCGCTACGTAGCACCATGTCGCGACCTTCGTAATAGACAGAAACTACGTCACCACAAATAGTAATATAGATATCAATGACCTTCAAGCTGCCGTGCAGAGTGTGCAGCCATTGCCGCTCCTTTTTGCATACTAACCTTTTCTTATTATAATTGAATGAGGACTTTCGAATTGTATTACAAAGCTCCGACCGGAACGATTTCTTGTGGAGTAAAGTCCTCATTCAATTATTACATTAGCAAACTCCACATCATGTCCTTTAGCTAACCTTTTCTGTTCGGGTGTCCCGACAATATTACTGGTGCGCAGTCGCACGCAGCTCATCCTCGTCCCTTTCTGTGCACTAACCGTTCCTATTTTGATGTACCCCCACAGTACTACTGGTGCGTGCACGGCGAGTTCCAACTGAGTGGCTGTGCCGACGGACTCGTGTTCAACTTTGCCAGCAAACAGTGCACGTGGCCGGAGCTGGTCGGCGCGCAGGCGCACTGCGGGGCCAGGTGAGAAGGGGGCGCGGCTGATGGGATGGGTTGTGATTGATGGGGCTGAGGGTTGGGCTGATAGGACAGACAGGTGGGACTGATGAGAAAAGAGAGGAGGGACTGGCGGGATAGAGAGGTGGGACTGGCAGAACGATGAACGTGAGTGCGGTAGAGAGTTGCAATGGCTGACTAATAGAGAGAAATAAAAAGATATATGGATGTAGGGTTTGCAATGATAGGACGGATGATTAGAATTCAAAGATGAGCTGTCTGTCTGTCCGAACATGATCTGTCTTCATTGCCCCCACAGCATTGAGTGTTCAGCTCCAAACTGACCTCTGCTAACCCTGCTCTCCCGTATCAGGTCGGCAACTCCCTCCAACTCGGAGTACGTGCGCGGCAAGTTCTCGCCCTCGTACTCGCGGGACCCGTTCTACAACCGTGACGTGGCCGCGCTGCGAATCAGTCAGGACGTCTACCCGTCACCCGTCAGCGTCGATGAGAAGAACCTCAGGCGCTACTGAGAACCAGGTTCCGCTGAGAACCAGACTTCGCTGAGAACCAGATGCTTCTGGGCACCGGGTGCTGCCGAGAGCCAAGTGTGACTGGGCATCAGTTGCTTCGAGGAATCGGGCGCTACTGGTTTACAGGCGTTGCTGAGATCAATCTCCCGTAAGTGAAAGCAGTCGCCTGCTGCCATTGAGTTAGGTATAACGTGACGCAATCGGTTGATGTTTCCCGTTGTTGCTCAAACTTCTGTTGAGGCATTCTGTTGTTGACGACGATGTTACTCTAGGTGACGAACGATAGGGTCGGTGTTGTTAACTTTAACGACAAACCAATCATTCCAACGGGAATGCAACATGACGACAACTGATTGTTGAAAAGAAAATGTTGCAGAGACAGCCCCTTGGTTTTGATGGTGTTATTTATCGGAGTGCAATAGTGACAATACGATATGAAAATACTTATGTGTGTGTTTACCCCCGAGTTACCCGTTTACCTTTCCGACATGCTTGACGAGCATGCTTGATCAAAAGTACAAAAAAAAATAGCACGGTTCATCTCATGATCGAACAAAAGGTTATGGGGTTGTCCGGTCCTTTAGCTTTATAGCTCCTTTAGCTCAACGATCGCTTGACGCTTCCGTCGGTTGTACTGAAGATAAACGAAAGAGAGGCATGAGGAAAAGGTAGGCAATCATCTTTTTGTCAAATGCCGTATTGCGTATACTTTTTACGGCAAATTAGACCCTGCATAATCGGTTATCGAGTCATAGCAATTCGTGAAAGCCTAAATGACCGCTAAACGGCTCTTTCAGGGCACTACACTCTGTGAATGGGAACTTTGTAGACTTTTGAGGTAAACTTAACGTTATTTATTAAACACAGCGGGCTCCATTCCGAGATCTGGTGCACTTCCCGTGCCTGAGTGTCACTGTCATCAACAATAAACATAGATCAGAAGGTACGGGCTCTGGCGAATAGAAATGCAAAACCCTCACAGTGATCACACTACAGCATTGCTTCGCTATGACAAATCGCTATAACAACCCTCTTCGAAGTGTTGTGCGAGCCTTGTAGGACGATGCTGACGGATTCGGTGACATAGAAAGCTATCCGTATGCGACGTCTTCAAGATATCAAGCATAAATGAGCATGGGAATCAGACACTTTTCTTACGGACCAATGCAGTACAAATTTATGCTTTGGCGTTAGAAGCGTCGCAGGTCCTAAATCAATTTTAATGCATACGATACCAAATAAGCGTATGCATGTGGACTTCAAATCTTCACTGCTTTGCATCACCAGTTCCAGTGAAATGTATCCGTCTGGATCTGTCGTCTGGAGGCCTGGCCCGTCGGCCACGCCCCCAGCACGAGCTCAGACAGATGCGGAGTCGGTCTGGGGTCAGTTGTCCCAGACGAGAGGACGAGATCCAGCTGTGACTGGGAGGGAGGGAGAGTGGCGTGGACAGTGGGCGGAACGGACAGAGTGAGAGGGAGACGGTGACGGAGGGAGAGAGAAGGAGGGAGAGAAAGCTAGGGTAGCGGGAAAGTGACCAGTGGTTGGAGGCGGATACTAGAGAAGAGAAGAATATCCAAGACAGTGCAAACATGAAGATCGACATCCATAACCACATTCTACCGAGGACTTGGCCGAACCTGGCGGAGGTAAGGGTGATAGCACGAATGGGGCTGTTACAGGGTGTTCCAAAAAAATGAGCTTCCTAACTAATATTGCTTATATCTCCAAAACCGTATGTCCTGGGCTAATGAGAGGTCCCTTGTTGGAAAGAACGGTCAATTTCGGTTATAATAGTCTACTTAGTGTGACTCTGAATTAATACGTATTACACCGGCGGGAACGACAAATGTGTCGCGAGATCGGGTGAAACACGGCGACGGCGGTAAACGTGCATTGCTGATGGCAACGCACGACCCATATTGGAGTGTTGAAATACCTATTGGTTGAACAAGTTCACCCATTCAGTCTTCAATTTTCGTAATAAAATTCACGTGCGAAGAATGAATAAACATACGTGAACTGAAATATGCAGACAGATGTGAAGAAATTTCAACCATATCCGATACCGCTAAATGTTTCACCAAGAATTTGGTATCAAATTGTGCTTTTTACAATGCTGGCGATTGTGCTTTTTACAATGTTGTGCAGGATAGGTAACGGAATTACGGCCTATATAGATGTAATTTAATTGCTCTTTCTAATGAGTGGCTTCCTAAAGCTGTAGGATGCACGGTTGCCGAGATACAGTCGATCTTAGTTGGGGGCTCACTTTTTTGGAACACCCTATATCTTTTACCACTGGTTAGGGTGCTAACGTGATTAGAGCTATTATCTTTTATGGCAAGGGTGCTGGTGTGTATTGTGTAAGTCTGTTATCCTTTACGACAGGTCGGTAAGTGTGCTAGCGAGTGAACGTTTATCTATGCGATTGTGTACATTAATTCTGCTTGATTCGGGTTAATTTTTAGATTCTTCAAGTCAGCATAGTCAAATGTTAACTACAATGCGTGACAAAAAACCGTAATGGTACCTATGTGAAGTGTAAACACTGAGAGACTAGCACGCCAGCGAAAAACCGTGGCCGCCGTCAACATTTTTAACGTTGCTTCATTGATTATATCCACCCATAGGTAAATATCTAGAGATGCGAAGCCCGCATAATGCGACCTATTACAAGTGATCTAGGATAGTCAAATGAGCGTCCGGTACGAGTATATTCGTGAGACATCGGCTTTGGATGTGCACCACCACGTCTAGTAACATGTAGTAATGTTACCGTATCACGATTATGAGCCACACAGTATGCTTCGACAACACGACCTAAGCTCTACATGCATATTAATCGCCGCCACCCCTCACATCATTTCACAGTCCCTTCACTCCTCAGTTCAGTGCCAGTTCCTTCAGTCGCCGAACTAAACCACATCACCCTGCTGAAGCCTCTGTCGCCCTGCGCTCCCCCTTCTCACAGAGGTACGGCTACGGCGGCTTCGTCCAGCTGGAGCACAGCGAAGAGACGTCCGACTCAGCCCGTATGATGAAGGACGGGCGGCTGTTCCGGGTGGTTCAGGCCAACTGCTGGGACGCAGAGCGACGGCTGGCAGACATGGACCAAACCGGTGTCACCGTGCAGGCGCTCAGCACGGTGCCCGTCATGTTCAGCTACTGGGTGGGTGTTCAAAAGCGGTAAAGGACCTTACTAGGGGCATCCGAGAACTGACTGGCGGGCTGGCAAGTGTCAGGATCCTGAGTCAGGACAGAACGTTACTACTTCTTATGCATCAGCTGGTGTGATAAAGAAGGCTGGGCTCACTGATATGATCGATTAGATGACGTATCATATGTCTTAGTGGAGGTTATAGATACCTAGTCATCATTTTCGTTTTAATTTTTTGTTCATTAGTTTTCTAAACGGTCCGTATATTTGTCCGTCCAATTATGCACGTAGTCATTTGTTACAATGCACTGAAAGCCGATGCGTATTGCCGTCGTTTTTCTAGTTTCGGTTATCGCCGATTCCAGGCAAAGCCGGCAGACACTGCCGACCTCTCCCGGCTGCTCAACGATGACCTGGCTGCGACGGTGGCGCGTCACCCGAAACGGTTTGTCGGACTCGGTAAGGATCGGACTCATCACACTCCATCGGGGAAGACTGCGACGGAACACATAAAGCGTGCAGCTAATCGTTACAGCATAAAACAAACCTGCCTTCGATTCAATTTATCAGCGATAACGAAGACTAAGTAGCAGCGTTGAAAGGCCGAATTCTATAGTTCATCCACAGTTTGATGCAAAGGTCCAACTTCACCAAGACAAATCGTTTATAAATTACATGAGCTCTAATGATGATGGCAAGTGTCCATTACTAATCGACTCTCCTAGCCCTTCTTCGTGCTTCCTTCCCACACTTTGTCTCGCACCCGGTCACATCGTCATCTCCCTCAGGCACCGCGCCGATGCAGGCGCCGCTGCTGGCAGTCGAGGAAATCAAACGGCTCACCACCGAGCTGCGTATGCCGGGCATCCAGATCGGCTCCCATATCGGCGACTGGAACCTGGACGCCCGAGAGCTGGACCCCGTCTGGAAGGTAAATTGGGACCTGTCTAAGACTCTTCGTAAGAGCTCGCTCTACGTACCGTCTAGACTTTCGCAGGAGCTCACTCCCGCATGAACAGTGGATTCACATTTACGTCTTTAATCTTACTTCATTTTCACATTCTGACGTATAATATTAGGGTTCTGCGACACCTGAGCGAGCGTCATTTCAGCGAACGACATTTGAGCGAGGCCTTTTCAGCGATTATCAATTTAAGCGATTGACTTTTTTAGCGATTGTCAAGTCGGCGATTTCAATCACAACGATTATCAACTTAAGCGAGGACCAGAATCAGCGAAACCAGATTGAGCGAATATATGGGGGTTAATGGGGGACCAATTGAGCGAACACAGTGACAGCGAAACCGAACGCGACGGAAGTCAATCATTTGCTACTTTTCGGGAATTCTTGCCCTTGGAATAAGCGCTTGGTATGTGTCATGCTTCAAGCTGCGAGCGGCAAATTAAAAATTTGCTTTCAAGCTTGGAAACCACAAAAATATCTGGCCTCATTCCGCAACCTTAATCTGGAAATGTGGAACGTGAGAGATAGGACGATGGAAGGAATGCCAAGGACCGATAATAAACTCGAGGGGTGGCACAGGGGGATCCAGTCTATGTTTCAGGCAGTCACCGTGGTTTCAGGGACCTCACCCAAATATCTGGAAATTCGTACGTTGCTTGGGGCAAGAACAAATTTTACAACATGAGGAACTGATCTAAATTCAAGCGGGGGAATTTCGCGAAAAACAGCACAAGCAATATGAATCTCTGAACAAACGTTTGGTCACCATTATTGGCAAACAGCAGGGGGGGGGGGGGGTGAAATCGAACCGCTGGAATTTTTGAGAAATGTGGCATTAAATTTGGAGCTTAATGTCTGAACTTTGAACGTGACATCCGCTATCCAGTTCCGGATAACCATGAAAAGTTCCGGAAACATTCGTTGTACGTACGCTCGCAAAAGAAAAAAGTAAAAAATAAAAAATACACCGTTACGGGACGATGGAGTGTTTCGCTGAAATGACAGTCGCTCAAACTGTAGTCGACGAAAAATATGTCGCTGAAACATAGCTTGCGCTTAAATTGATAATCGCTATATTTGATAATCGCTCAAGTTGATATTCGCTAAGTTGCCAGTCGCTGAAAATGGTTCGCTCAAATGACGTTCGCTCAAATGACACTCGCTTAAGTCGCTCGCACCGTAATATTAGTTGGTAACTTCCGGTTCAGGTGATTCTAATGTTCACTTTTTTCCATGTTCACCCACTCCACAGTCCACTTCAGGCGTCATGAGACGCCGCCTCGTCCCTCTGCACCGCTCCAGGCTGGGTCACGCCGTCTTCCATTTCTTGCCAGTGACCCGCTTCTCTGAAGCCGTCCGCGCTTCTCACCAGGCGCTGTTCCACGAGCTTGTTTCCGGCGACGACCAGCGAGAGGACAGAGGAACCGAGCAAGAGCCCCAGATAGCCGCCAGTGAAAGCCAACAAGTCCTCCAGGCTGAAAGTGGACACAGTCATCATGACGCGCCTCACTCGAGACGTCGAGAACTTGGCCTGGACGAACTGTCGATCCTTTTTAGGGACACGTTGATGCTTGAGGACCTTAGCTAGTGGACGTCGCAGTGGTTTTCTCTTGGAGCCGGGCAAAGCTTTGAGTGTGATGCGATCCTGTGCGCAGGGTATTGGACAGTTGCAGGCTATATCTGAGTCATCGCTGAAAAACTCGGAGGCTCCAGCGCCCAGCACATCACAGTGACGCGCAGTGCAGAGTGGCATTCCTTTTGTAACGTTGCTTTCCATGCTGCATCCCATCCAGGTCATGAAACATTGGCGCTCGCACGTCGCAACGCTGTAGTCCGGGACTGAGTTGCATGGCTGTCGTTTCAGGTTGAGTCTCTCCTCTCGACTGATCGTGATCTTCATATTACGGTGGATTTTGTTGTCGATGACAAGCATAGCGTGGTCGCTCGGATTGTATCGAAAGAAGTCTCGTTCACTGTGGAATATGACGTAATAGTATATTTGTGCCGATTCGTCCCAACCCTGCACTGTTTCCGGATCAAGAGTTAAGTTGAGTTTGAAACGAGACAGGCCGCATAGAGCCAATGTGACGCCCATAACTCCATCTCCATTAAGGACAGGCCAGGAGGTCCCCTTCGTTCGCCTGCCGTTTTTCAAGGGACAGAGATTGTTTGCATTTAGTATGGTCTTCATCCATGATTCACTGTTGGATAAAAGAAGATCCTGAAGAGATTGATCAGAATCCACGGATTGGTGAGTTATATTTACAACAGGATCTTCACTGTGTTCTGAGGACTCTGCCGACACGCCATCAACGTATTCGTCTTCTCTCTCCTGATGTGCCGTGTAGCAATCAATGTCCACCGAGCCAGGGAATATGGACACATACGGTGGTTTGAAATCAGTATCGAGTCGAAACTGCAGGGTGGTTGGCTCGGAAAGGAAGTGCACGATTTTGATACCGGTGAGAGTCAGCCAGGCGATCAGTAGGACCAGTTGTACCACGCGCAGCAGCACATCAGAAGGCATGTAACAACTCCAAGCCATAATTACCACGCACTCGATGAAGTCATATATGCATGAATATTTATCACAGGCGCGATGCAGTTCTTCAGCCGCTATCACTTCTTTTGATGAACGCGATCACGATGTTGTGTCATACACTTGGTTCCAGGTCTGATGTTCGAGGGGCTGTGTTGCTTGGTCTTTGAGCACAACTTCCAGCAGACCACTAACAGCTCTTGCCACAGCTGGCACCCACCACTGACTGTCCAAGTCAGGGATAGGAGTCCATGTCTTAGGCAACACGACATCTTCTTAATTACATCAAGTAGGCCGGCATGGACGCAATCCATTAGAGGTAGCGTGACGAGGCGAATGAGCGGTGTCACCAGTTGTCGCATTGCGTGCATATCCTGCTTACTTAGGTACGTCTCTGCCGCCAGTCATGCGTCCCGCATTGCGGTTGGTTGCAATTATAAAAGGACCTCTGCGCATAGAATTCTTGGAGCTACCCAGTACCTACCACTTGATCTAATGACCCGAGATCTTACGACTCCATTCAGAGATCGTTTTAGCGCTCTTAAACCGCGCATGACTGGGGGGCTCTACAGAGCCCCCCTCCCGTTTTTCGGCAATACCTATCTTCTAAACCGTTTGAGGAATCAACACGAAACTTGCAGAACCTTCAGCGTCATTAATATGACATCTCGTGTTAAACTTTCAATTTTTTAGCTACCATAGTTTGGCTGGAAATGACGTCAGAGTGACAGTACGTTTGCGTGCATCTTAACATTAAGTCACGAACTCACAAGTTAAAAATGTGAATATTGCATCAAAATCACATAAAACAAAGTTTAGCTCAGAGCAGCTCCAACTTCCGATCAGTCCTGCCAAAAAATTTTGACAGCAGAAATAATCGACGAGCTTTCTGGAGAGCCTGCTTATTGGTCGGCAAGAACCTTGAAAATACGAGATATTGACGTGGGGCGCATTACCTCGGGCAGAGTTGGCCTGCGCTACGCTACGTTACGCACTACGTTACGCTACGTTTGCTTTTTTGGCCAAAACTACGATACCGAATTACGATACGTTATATATTGCTACGTTACTGAATTACGGTATTTGTTAATTAACGCAGCAAATTATTTTATCGTACTACGTTATGCAATATGTCATCATCCACTACCCAGTGGAAAGGAAACGGTTAGTCTCTAGTAAACCAAATACTGCGCACAATGATCGCAGGCTTTGCAGCATCGTCGGTGCGGCGGTGCCTACGCGCTACTCGCTAGATGCGCTGGACTTCCGACAGGGAATTCCCTGGGACTCCCCAGTGGGAAATCCGCGGTGTCGGTCCGGCCGGAAGAAAGACTCAGTGGTAGGTATTCATATAGCATGCGTCTCACATCCGTGTAAACGGCCGGAGGTCTGGTGACGATATGAGTAAACTGAAAAAAATTATGTACCTTATACAAATACAGCTGACCTGTAATTGCTACGGAATCCATTTCGTAGTTCCTACGTTATTCTATTATTTTCCGTACTACGCTACCGAAACATCCCAATTACGCTACGAAACGGTACTGACAGCTACGGGTTACCGAAAACTTCAAAATAACGTAACGTAGGCCAACTCTGACCTCGGGGTTGCGCGTTGCCCCGGTGTACCCTACTTCGTAAATGTTCATATGGTTTCTAAATTCGAATTCAGCTCCAAAAACTAGCTTAGAAATATTGTAAAATTCGAAAAAGTGAACCGAGGTCATCACAGGTCAATGACCTGACCTGACCTTCAGGTGACCTTGACACCCACCCTAATGCATGGGGCAGCATCATCATATCACATGTTTGAACGCTTGAAACCACGAAAAGAATGCAAACGCGCGGCTAATGCGAGCCGACATACGCCGAATCGCGACTCCGGCCAAACATAGTCTCGAAAAGTAGGTCACAGGTTAAAGGTCATTTGGGTCAGGGTCATGAAATTTTCAGGGTAGGTGTAAAATTGAATAACTCGAGGGTACTGAAAGTTTCGTCGCGATCGACCGCTTTTTACGCGAGTTATTCGCGAAAAACCGAAGGGGGGTCCGTTCGACCCCCCCCCCCTTATACGGTCGAGGGCTATAGAATACAGCAATATCTTTGGTCAAATTATCATGTGCTCTCCGAAACAATGTAATTATCACGGCACATTTATGTATTTCTATAGGTAGGTAGGTACTACATTCTACATACATATCGACAGCTCAAATTTTTTATCGTTCACTCCTCAATTACGCTCACCCGGCACATCCAGCACCCGTATACCCACTCCACTGACCCCCCCCCCCTCTGATCACCGCCAGACGTGCGAGGACTACGATTGCGCCGTGTTCGTCCATCCCTGGGACATGGTGATGGGCGGACGGTACAGCAAGTTCTGGCTGCCCTGGTTGGTGGGAATGCCGGCGGAGACCGCCACCGCTATCGTGTCGGTTCTGATGGGCGGAGTGCTGCAGCGCTTCCCCAAACTGAGGCTCTGCTTCGCGCATGGCGGAGGATCGTTCCCGTATACGGCTGGCAGAATCGGTATGTGGGGTTCCAGTATCCCTAGTCCCTAATCCCCATAGCCCATAGGTATTGTCGTCAGAGGAGTTAGGAGGCGGGAGCTGGAAAAAGAGAGGGAGATGCTGTCGGAAATGGGGATAGAGTTAGGTTGGGGTAGCTCGAACGTGTCACAAGTGCAGCACTGTCATTGAAAGCGAATTAACTTGAAAGGTGAACGTAAAAAAAAAAACGAAAAATGTACCGACCAGGGTCTAATGTTTAGGTATAGGGGAGAGTGGGGTAAGATGCCCAGGGTGGGAAAGACGCCCCACCCCCTCTAGCGGCGAAACAAAGAATCGAACCTGGAAATTAATGTTCTTAGCGTAAAGCGGAAGCCTGCCTTGTTAACTGCACACAAATTTGCGAGGCTCAGTTGGGCAACGGCTGGCTGGTGATTGCATGTTTTTTATTTGCTGCTTTCAAAAAATATTTTGGTGTCAAAACATTGTAAATATCAAAGAAGGTAGATAATTTTTGCGTCCCTTGCTATAGTCGTGATAAATTAACATGCGTGTACTGTGTCCCAAACAGTTTGTTTCAGGGTGTAATTTTATGGCTAACAAATTGTACTGATTTAATGTTACCTCGGTACCTTGGGGTAAGATGCCCCCTGTCCTGATGGGGAAAGACGCCCCCTAAATCCGTAGGCTGTCCTTCAAGCAGCCCGTCAAATCATTTATTACATACCTGTGATGAGAGACAAAAGCCGATCTGGGACTATTGAGAGTCCAGTACGGTCGGGTGCTCCCCATGCCGGTCTCTCGGCCCACACAGCGACTTTTTGGGCGGCATCTGACTCTGAGAGCCCTTACGACGGCCTCTGTGGGCCGCATTATTGGCTCCAGGGCCCCTCACGACATCCTTTGAGGGCTCCCACGTTGGCTCCACGGGCCGCGCTGGCATCTGAGGTCCCCACGATGGGCTCGAGGGCCCTCAAGCATCATGAAGACCTATAAGGGCCCCACAGTGGTCTCCGAACGCCACCACGGAGGCTTGTTTGGCCGCGCTGGACTATGATGGCCCTAACGATGACCTCTGAAGCCCCTTACGACTACTTTTGAGGGCCCTTACGATGACGTTTGGTGTCTACTGCAGGCCCGAAGGGACTACTGATTCGTTCAGGCGATTCACGTGTCCATTTATGTCACTTATAGTGCAGGGGGCATCTTACCCAACGCCAGGGGGCGTCTTTCCCACCCTGTGGGGTAAGATGCCCACTTTCACTTCTTCAGGAAAATGCTTAATAGCAAAAAAGTTATCATATTTCAAGCACGAAAGTGTGATATTTTTGGAGAAAAATGATGTCGGCTTCCGTTGAAACTACAAGTTTTTGCTTTCCGATTTCCATTCCATTCCATTCCAGAATGTTTATTGCGCATCGACAACCTATAAGTAAAACGATCGGAAAATGAACATGAATAACAGAGATAAAGCAAAATAATATAAGAGTGGTGCAAAAGCACATGGTGCTTGACTCTAGGCACCACCTCTTGTAACATAATCAGATAGACATCATAAACATAAAACAACATGAACATAGCCTTCAGATCAACGTCGAATATAACATAAACATACAACGTAATGAAGGTAACGTAGCGTAATGAAACAAAACTACCACTGCCGCCGCCACGACAGGCCACCGACCCAACCCGCGCTGACGTCACTCAGCCCACCGGGGACGCCGCCCACAAAACTGAATGAGGTAGGTAAATTAATAGGTAAATCTGTGCGAACGAAGCAAGAAATTTTGGAAATGCTGAGCCACCGCACGACAGTCCCCGCCGCCAAGATCGTCGCCATGCAAAAGAAGACGTAATAACCGTGTAGTTGACATTTGACCAAAATTTTCGCCAAAAATTTGCAACATGTCCCGGTAAAGTTCCTCTCTCTGCAAATTATAGTTGGGACACGCGAGAATGAAATGATGAATATTTTCTGTTTCAAAGCCACAAGCACATTCAGGTGTATCGTGCCTTTGTATTTGAAATAAATGTGAATTTAGTTGTGACATTTGCATTCGTAGCCTAGAATGGAAAATATTGCCCATTTTAGTGCCAATTTTGTAAAAGGGAGAAGGCCCAGGCACCCCCAGTCGCCTCGAGATCTCTCGTTGAAAGGAACGAGGAGGAAGGGATCGGATGGATTCGGGAAGCTGGTTCCAGGATTTGCCTGTTGAGGGGAAAAAGGACTTCTGGAAGGATGTGGAAGGACTTCCGATCGTCATTTTCGAATAATATATGACATAGTAAAACCCTGGGCATCTTTCCCCACTCTCCCCTAATCATTTTCAAGCACGTAGACTGTAGATCATCAAGAATGATTACAGTTAAGTCCATATGTTGTGTGCGGCATCGTATTTGTAATCGATGTTCTTTCCATTTTTCTCCGCCAGACCACGGTTTTCGGTGCCGCCCGGACCTGTGTGCCCAGGAGACGTCAGTGCCACCTAGTGAGCAGCTGGGGAAGTTTTGGTGCGACTCGCTGGTGCACGATGCCGCTGCGCTCGACCTGTTGACAGAGGTGGTCGGGAAGGTAGGTGTAATGGCTTTATCGGGCTATACCGTATTGACCTGGATCGGGCTGAACGCGGCCCCCGCTGCGAACCAGCTGCCTCGGTCGGAATTTAATGCGGCCAGCTGCCGGGGAAGGGCCGGCGAGTGACAAACAGGGCAGCGGAGGGGCAAGGAGGGGAGGGGAGGGTTTCAGCACTGGCGACAGGCCGGGACCGAGAGTCCGTGGGAACAAACACCAGCAGCGGTGTCGAGGGTTCAGTAGGTCACCAATCACTCACAGCGCCAATCGACCCGGTAAAGGTGAAAGTACCTACTTCAGGATCGAAACAATAGAAGCCTTATGGGGCGGGAGATTCGGTGTCATGAGTCGCCAAACGAATTATTAGCATTTAGATTCGGTGAATGAGAGCGTAGATGCTTTTAAAACATTTCGCCTAAAAATGGCATGATCTGGCTTTGGCATCCAATTCCAGACCTCAAATCAGCTGGAACTAATGATTGAAACTATGCCTTTACGCGGTTTATACCTATGCATTGTGCAGTGTGCATCAGTAAGGAGTAACTACAAATGCACCGTTTCTCTGTCGCAGAAGCGGGTGATTTTCGGCTCGGACTACCCGTTCCCGCTGGGGGACCTGCACGGAGGCAAGATCGTGGAAAACCTCGGCGATCCGCAGCTCAGGGTAAGGAACAAATATAACAAACGGGCATCACAAACAAACGTGTGTCGTCGGCATACGGAAAACTCATTGAATCAATTACGATGCCGACTGGCGACTGCAGGTGCCAATGATGTAGCTAGCTTTATACAATCATGTAGGTGCTATTGTTTTGTGTGGCTAATGTAATATTATAATGACCACTTCCTCTCTTTTCAGGACGACATTTTCGCACAAAATGCGCTGGATTTCCTCGGTCTGGAGAGATCCGCCTTTGAGTAAACATGTCTCGTCCCGTGTGAAGTTGTATTGCGTCAAAAACTGCATCCATAGTGCATCCATACTACGTCACGGAAACAGCAAGGATCGTGACAAAGGAAAGCTACAATATCCACAATATACAATATACATATATTTCATATTCCCACAACGAATGTCTGCTTGCAAGCAGGGGAAAAGAGTGGAGGCGATTCACACGACTCTCCGCTCGATCTTCGATTCATATTTCGTATGAAGCGTCTCTTTAGGCTGCCGTAAAAAACAAAGAGGCACATTTCGTCTTTTTGTTGCAAGTTGACTGCGACTTGGGACTTGACTCGCAGCCGCGGCAACGGCAGGAATTACGCGTTACAAGAATAAATCAAGAGTGCAAACACGTTACAACCACCCACAACTAACGCCGATTCTACATCGAATCTAGGGGAGAGCGGGGTCATTTGGCCGCCCGGGTCACTTTGGCCGCCCCATGTCTACGCGTTTTGACGGTCCCGAGCGATTATTTTTGAATATGGCACCATCCGCCGTCATAAGAACTACTTTGGAAAGAAACTAAGGAAACTCAACGACGCCCAGTTTTTTGTAAAGCCAACGATATTTGAATTTTGGCTAAAAAGCGTAACTTTTTCTTCTTTACGAAAAGTTGCATGGTGTCCCTTATTTGGGTGACATCAAAATTTTAACTCTATTGGTAGAACAATCTGGTGATTCAGGGAGCTGTCCGACCCTTTTGCAAGTTTAAGTAACAATTTTTGCCTGTCTGCGGACCCCTTTTCCTAAAAATGTCATATTGGGGTAAATTGGCCGCCCCATACGGGGCGAATTGGCCGCCCAGCGACTCAGTTGATTTTTTGCCTAGTCTGCGAGCGACGCGCTGCGCTGGCTAAGTTCTGCCGCTGAGGATGGTAATGCGGCGAAGTCTAAATGCAAGGGACGACCTAACCAAGGTGTCCGCTGATTGGCTTTCGGCACCCGGCGGCAGATGGCGAACCCGGGACGTCACATCGACCTCTACAGGTGGCGCCGATTTTTCGTCGTGCCTAAGACGCCACCTTCACGCGGAAGAACATCCGCGGGTTAAGAGATTCGAAGCGGCCGGGATATCCCCGCTATACCGGGATATATTCGACAACGAAGACTGCGCCGACGGCGGTCTTCGCACCGGTTGTCGCCCCAGCGACGGCAGATCAGCACGCCGCGGCCCCGGCCGTGCTCCAGCCGCCTGCCGCGGCTGTGCTCCAGCCGCCAGCCCCGGGGCCGGCCGTGCTCCAGCTGCCTGCCGCGGCCGTGCTCCAGCCGCCTGCTGTCGCCGTGTCTTAGTTGCTTGTCGGAAGCCCAGAGTCCATCCGACCACTTCCGCAGCTGCGCATCAACGTTCGAAAAGCCGGTTGGAAGAAAGGGCGTTCTAAAATCATGACTAACAGCCCGGAGCGGACGGCTTTGGAGGACGAGCAACAGGCACGTATGGCGAGGAGCAAACAGCGGGGTCCACAAGCTGGACCGTCGAACCATCGAACGTCGGGAGCTGGACCGTCGAAGAAACAGGAGCGCAAAGGTGACAAACAGTGAAGCGCAGTGATGACTGGACATGTGTCCATGTCGTCGGGACCGTATTTTACAGTGGATGTGATCTGAAGTGCTGGGTCGAAGACGGGGCCTGCTGGAATCGTTTTTATTTCGTGTTTACGGCAGAGTTTGAAATAAACAAACAACTCGTGCACAAAGGACTTTTTTGCAGTGCGATTGTCTAAAGCAATCTACGATTTGGCAGCCATTACAGTTTGCTGTTGTTATCACTGGGCAGTGCTCAACTCATGAGTCGTAAGCTCGTAAATCAAATGTGGCTCCTCACTTGCACTGATTCAAATGAATCGAGTGTAAGCCTATAGTCCTTTGAAAAATTTAGGATTTCAGGCGAATCAACGATGAGTCACGTTGCTCATCATTTGTGTCAGCATTGGGGCATCTGAATCGTCACATCAGTCATGCGTCGAGTCAATCCAGAATTCATGAGTTAAGCACAATCTTGGGCGTCTTCAGGTTGTCTCAGCTCTGTAATAGGTATATCTCTGAATCACATGCCCGGCCAAATGACCCCACTCCCCCGGCCAAATGACCCCGGTACCGGGGTCATTTGGCCGCCGTGCAGTCTTTGAAAGAACGGCTAGTTACCACCGAAACGAGATGTCCCAGCATGATGCAAGTAATAGGCCAGAACAACAATTGAACGCCCCACGCCCCTCCATGGAGAAATCGACCAAACGCGCACTGGTTTTCTCAAAATATCGTTTTTACAAAAAGGCGGCCAAATCGCCCCGTTCTCCCCTATTACATACATCGATTTACGCCAACAGACAACCAGGCGTCAGTCCTTACTCCCTTCCAGGCACAAAATCACAACCCCACTCATGCACATCACACACGATGAACTACTCGGTCACAACACACTCGACGCTGCCTGTACAGGGACGCATCTACATCTCCTGCTGATTGGTAACGTGGCATGTTAGCATGTTAGCTAGGGAGGCAGGTGCATGTAAACGACAAAAGTCTGTGACTACTTTCGTAACCATTTCAACATACCTGTTTCCTGATAATACATGCAAACTGCAAAGCATATATGTGTCTTTCGGTTTGCGGCGTTCATGAACTTCGACACCCATGCTAGAACGGTTAGTAGCTGAAAACAAAAGTCGACTGCGATGAACCAGTTAAGCGTGATTGATCACACGTTATGAGACATAAACCCGATTGCTTGCTGCTGAAACAAGCTCGCCTTGCGTGTACATCATATGTATGTGTGAATTTATTATCAAGGCACTTGTAAAACCATTGCTCGTCTGGGCCAATTCGACTCATTGCCTGCTAAGTGCTAGGCAAGCCAAGATAAGTACCTACTGTCGGCTGTAATTAGTTCCCTGTAATCCTAGAAAAATACTTTCATAGCATAAGATGAGGCAAATGTAGAATGGACTGAAATAGCCCCTGCAATGATTTCTTTTGCATTGTACTCTATACGTGCCCTCAGCTCAATAGTGACGTATGCAATAAGTAGCTAACTAGCTGAATAGCTCAATACACGTAGATGTATTCATGAGGCAGAGTTGCCATAGTCCATCAGCGGATTATAATTCAAATTGGCCAATAAAAATTCTAACGCCTATGATTGATAATCATCATTGGTAGGGCAATAAAACTAAAATTAAAAAGTGACCAATTTGTGATTGCGATTCTAGAACAGTTTTCCAATAAAACTGCGAAAGCTGTGAGGCCAAATCATTCCGAACCTGGTATCACACTCTTAGCACGCCCACCCTCACCTCCCTCCTTTACGGGATTCGGTCGAAGTCGAGGGAGCAGGTCTTCGTGAGCGACAGGCGCCGGTGCTGTGCCAGTCGGCGCCCCTCCTCCCCCGTCAGAGGGCGCCACTCGCCGCGGCGCGGGTCAAACTCCACCGCCGCTCCATTCGGCTCTTCAAACACGGGCGCCGGCTCCCCGTCCTCCTCCGACAGCGTTAGGTACACGAGCCGCCGAGAGATGGCAGCACGGTCGCGCCGGTGAGAGGTCAGCTCACCGGAGATGGACCAGCGACGAGAGGGCACTCCGCGCCCGGAGCGTAGCTGGGGTGGGGTGGGAGCGAGCGGGCGGGAGGGTGCGCCCTCTCCAGCTTCGAGAGGAGCAGAGGTAGCGGGTTGGTCGGCGGTGGAGGACGCGAGGTCACTTGTTTGGTGGCGCGGAGAGGACGAAGGTTCCTCCGGGACAGAGTCGAGGCGAGTCCGTCGTGGTTTGATTCCGGAAGGGACGGGTAGAGGACAGGGTGCCTGCGTGTCCTCGGGATCATTGGTGGCCGGTTCACCTTGTGCGTCACCGGACGATTCGGTGGAGGTTTCTGGCACTGTTGAAATTTCTTCAACAGTGAGGTCGTTGAGGTTAACTGGCTGATCTTCTTCCTTTTCTTCATTTGTTGAAGCTTGGTCAGAAGTGGAAGGCTCAACATCAGCTGATAGCTCGTTGGGAAGGTCGCTTGACGCGGATGCTTTTGGAACAGAGCTGTCTTCTCTCTTTTCCTCGGTAGTTGTCTGTTCAGTCGTATCTTTGTGAGGCTCAGCAGAACTGTTCAGTGCCTTTTCATCATCGTTGTTGGTATCCTGGATGGACGCAGACGTTTCGCTGACTTCTTCAACTTCCAACTGTGTACTCTCTGCATTAGACGCATTCTTCGTTGTCAGTGCCTTCGCTTCAAATACGTCATCGCTTTCATAACCATTCTCGGTGGGTGCTGGAACAGCAGGCGCTTCATCCATGCCGGACGTTTCTGACAGCTTACTCTCCTGAGCAACTCGCTCCACCGCGCTTCGATTAGCATTTTTACATAGCTTCTCCGCTGTTTCCCCATTCACACAAACGCTGTCCTCTTTATCTTCTGACTTCGAATGGCATCTTCCATTTTTGAGGATACCACAAGGAGCATGCCTTTCTGCCACACTCTTTATCTCATCCTCATGCAGCGCAGATAGACTTCCTGTGCCTCGCGCAGAACGCCATCCTTCGCGGAATCTCACCCTCTTCTCCTCAGGGTGTTCGGCCGCCCTGCCGTTCTGCCCCTGCTGAGCAGGCTGCTGGGGGTTCTGCTGGGAATCTCGCTCAGCAGCCAGCTGAATCAGATGATCCAGCAGCGGCACCCCACCCGCCTGCTGACACCGTGCCGCTCCCTCCCGGTGGGTCGCCTGGCTGGTCATCTGAGTCTCGTCCAGCGGGTCGGGGCGCGGGGCGAGCGGTCGCAGCGATACGTCCGAGTGCTCCCGGGACCCGGAGGTGGAGGTGGATCCGGACCCGGAGCGGACACGGGATCCGGAGCCGGACCCCGAGCTGGACCCAGTGCTGGAGTCGACCGATTCCGGGTCACTTGAGGCGGTCGAAACGACAGAAGAACGTCGTTCTGTGAACAAAGAAAGACAAATTGATGCAAGTTATCAGAGAAACTTTCTGTAAATGAAAAAAACAGCGAAAACATGCCGATTGATTAGGAGATAGTCATCGATATAAATATAGCCACAGCAAGACTATAGAGAACGACATAATCAACGTGATTATTTTTTTGTCGATGTATGCCTGCTCTCACGGGATGAGCTCGTCCGTGACCAGGGCCATCCTCTGTCAATCCCTTTCCCGTGCCCTAGCCCCTTGCTCCCCTAGCTCCTCACGCAGATTGACGGTGATACCACGTCGCACCCTCTCCGCAATAATACGGTCATAGGCGCTGAGCCGACGGCCCGAGGAGCGGTGTGGCGGCGGCTGGTTATCCGAGCTGGTTGAGGCGCGCCGCAGCCAGGCTCGACGTTTCTGCTGCTGGTGCAGCGGCTGGGCGCTGCCCCGACGCTCCTCACTGGTCATCTGTAAGTGGAGAGGGTCGGGTTATCTGAGGTCGGGAGGGAGTTATTAGAAGGGGCGAAGGGTCAGGCTGGTCATCTGCACCTGAGAGGGCTAGGATAGTTAGATAAGCGCCAGGAGTTTGCAGGTTATTTTGGAGAAGGAAGGCGCCAGGCGCTTGGGCAGCTCAAGCAGAGACTAGGTATAAAGAGACTAGGTCAGTTGAAGATTTGCAGAATTTAACCCTCGCCCGTAAACGGCGATCTGCCACCTTCGCCCATGCAGGGGGGGGGGTTGGTGCGACCCCCCCCTTGGCGTTTGAAAACGGAGCGTCGTAGAGCTTAGCGGAAAAGACCAACGGATTGCTCTCGCCGAGATCTCGCGATTGGTGGTATATTTTTTGGTCCTAGGTCAACATTTGACCTACTTTTGACCGGTCAAAGGTCAAATTTTCGGAAAAATAGACTTTTTTCAACTTTCCGCGGCGATTGCGGCAACACGGTGGGAGATATCGACTTGAAACCTTCACTATCGTGTTCCTTGATCAATTCTCTATCGTTTGGTATGTATTTCGTTTCCCTAGCTCTAAAAATGGCGCGTTGGGAGCGCCGGAAGTCGGCAAGGTCACAGTCGGCGGCAGAAATTCGAAAAATCAAAATTTAAATTTTTGAAATCTGATTGTATTTTTGGATTTGGGAGGTCCATTTGCTCCCTATAGAAGCTAATATTGCTGCATATTCCCATTGAGCTGACAAGAATTAGCAAAATAGTGGTTCGGGCGCTTTTCAAAAATAGTACCGGACGCTGTTCCTCTTGTGACGTCATAGCTCCGTGACCTGACCTGACCCGGTCAAGTTTCTTATACCATATGATAGCCAATACTTGCCCCAACATGCATGGGAAGTTTCATCACGATCCATCAACCGATGTCCGTACCACCGGCAGGAAACCTCGGGCGTTGGCACTCAGTTTGTGAAAATCCGGCCGGAGGCTGTTCCCTTTGTGACGTCATAACTCCGTGACCTGACATGACCCGGTCAAATTGTTTTTATCAAAAGATGCGCAAGGCTTGCCCCATAAGGTACCCAAAATTTGGCGGCGCTGCGCGCCGCCGTTTTTACACTATTTCCGAAAAACCTCAGGGGGGGGGGGTTGCACCAACCCCCCCCCCCTACATGGGCGAGAGTTAAAGACCCATAGTTATAAAAAGAAAATGATGAATGCAGGATAACGATCAGATCTTTTAACCGCGAGGTAAGTAATGTCACATTTTTAACTCAAGCTGGTGAAACAATGACGGTGAAAATACAGTCACACACAGCTAGAGCTAAGAGATGACTACTACGCACCAATCCACATCCCCTCTCACCTTGTCTGTTTTTCCGTTCGGCGGCCGGTTCACCAGCTCCCTTCACGACACTTCAGTTACGTCAGTCCTCGGACCACAGTCAGTGTCCCACCACGACTGGGCAATTCAGACTGTGACCACTCGCTGCCACCCACAGCACCCCACACTCCACAGCGTGCGAACGAAATTCAATAACCAACTCGCCACAACACGAGGCTTACGTTTTTCTCAAACACCACTCATCGTAAACGTAAATAAATAACACTGGATTTGCTTGTGCACTTTCGATCTTCGCAGCTATTTACAGCAACTTCTTACACACAACCATCCACAAGTTTTTGCGCGAGATTCCCACACGCCCTCACAATCGTTCCCTAGTGGCCCTGTGCCCTCACGAACGTCGAATGGCCCGTACTCACTCCAGCGGCCACCCGTACACACAGACAGACAGACATACAGGCACCGACAGCCGGCACGAACGGAGCCCGTATCGACCTCGGACTCTGTTGTGGTCGTCGGGCCAGTTCCATCGACCAAGGCGACGTGGCCGCGGTTCGGTTAGGGGGTGACCCCCCCCCCACCTCACCAAGTGACCGAAGCGCTACCGCTTCCCTCGTGGGGGGGGGGGGGGGGGCTGGTTTGGTTCGATCACGGATCACCTAACGGATCGGCAACTCTCCCCGATTCCCTTTGTTATCGGTGTACCCGCGGAGCGGGCTGCCATCTAGCGGCGCGGATATCTTCACTAAGGAGGGGAGCCGGCCGCCCGCCGCAACCAGTGTTAAAAGGCACGGGGAAACGGGTGTGAACGCAACACCCGTCCGTCGTTTCCATCCTCAGGATCTTCAGATCAAGTTCAAATCCTTCTCCTCCACGCAGCAACTCTTGATCCGGGCTGGACAGGCAACTTTATCTCATGCGGGCTGCTCCCTTGAAGCGCACCACTGCTCCCATGGGAGCACACCCGTAGCCGGGTGCAGAGAGTGCTTGGGGGGCTGGTCGGCCTGTCCATTCGGACGGGCTCAGCCCCGGTGACTCTCTAGGGTGCCTGTCCATAGGTACCAATGTTTACCCCAATTCCTATAATCCTTCCGGCTCTGCAATGGTCTCAATGGACCGAAAGGGCCTAACCCAACACAACAAAAACAAACAAAGGTTAAGAACGGATTAAATTACGGAGTCTCTCTAACAGCTGGAATGTTACCATAACATGGAAATGTTTGACATACTTTATTCCCTAATCAGCTGGAGTATGCATAATGATCCAAATGTTTCTAGTTATGCTTGAGTTGTATGAGCAAGAAGCACGTCCTCGCAACTTTAACGTCGTTTTTGGCCGTAGGTACACGAAGACCTTTGACCTTTCCTCATCCGTCTGCCCATAGTACGAGTTCATCCCCTGTTCCTATCTAGACGGTCACCGGCTACCAGTTGGAGTAGATAACATCGGAGCAAATCTAACGAGCTGGCCATTATTAACGAGACTATAGGTGGACCTCGGCCCCTGTTTCACGATACGACCCTCCCCGCCGCTACAAGGTATCGACACTTAGCCGGTTTTCATTAAGACGTTGGCAACATTGTGAAGTTTCCTTACGTTTCCATAGGAACGGAGGCACCCATACCTGATGATGTTAGGTACTGGGTAGCAGCGTGCCGCTAAACAGTGACTATAGCTTTGGCCCCGAGGCTGGTTTATCCACGAGTTACATCTCAAGATATCTGTGGCTTAGAGCCAGGTCAGGTCATTTTGCACCCTATATATTGCCTCATATTCAACATTCTCTCTCTATATATAACCAGTAAAACGCCTTTTGGGCGAAGAACGAGCGAGCGAGATAGTGAGCCCTGCACGTGCGGAAGGGCGAGAGGGTGCTTCCAACGGGCTTGTGCAAAGCACCCTTCTAACCGGTCGCTAGCGGTGTGCCAAATTTGAACGCAATCGGCCCAGCCGTTCCTGAGATCTGGAAGCGGCATTCTGCACGTGCGCACGTGCAAACGGGGTCCAAAATGACTTTTGCACGGCACCCTACTAACTCGTCCCCAACAGTGTACCAAATTTGAGCGCAATCGGCCCAGCCGTTCTCGAGATCTGGAAACGCCCCCTGCACGTGCGCACGTGCAGTAGCACCCTAACCGCAACACATGGGAATGCATTGCCTGGTGGGTGCCTACCTGTATGCCAAGTTTCAGCGAAATCGCCCCAGTAATTACCGAGTTACTGAAATGGGAACAAATTTGGCACCTCTTATTGTTGTATTTTGCACGTGCACTGGGGGTGACCCACATACATCGAGAGTATCCTATTTTGGGTAGAAGGGATGCTGCTACCCTACAAAAATTACCGCAAGTCAATCGCCCAAGCGGCTGCTGAGATATGAGCCTCTCAAAATCACTACTTTTGCAAAACAGCTTGAACAATGAACACCCTTGACTTTTCACGTGGCACGTGCCACGACGGTCACTGAGATGTATCAAAAGTAGTCAATTACGGGGTAGAAGGGATGGGGCTACCCAACAAAAAAGACCGCAGGCCAATCGGTCCAGCGGTTGCTGAGATATAAGCCTCTCAAAAGCGTTACAGGCCGGGCCGGGCCGGGCCGGGCCGGGCCGCTCATACTGAGATTTTCCCGTTATATTGAAAAGACTCACTTCGCTCGCTGCGCTCGCTCGCTCGTAATAATATATATATATATATATATATATATATATATATACCAGTAAAACGCCTTTTGGGCGAAGAACGAGCGAGCGAGATAGTGAGCCCTGCACGTGCGGAAGGGCGAGAGGGTGCTTCCAACGGGCATGCGCAAAGCACCCTTCTAACTGGTCGCTAGCGGTGTGCCAAATTTGAACGCAATCGGCCCAGCCGTTCCTGAGATCTGGAAGCGGCATTCTGCACGTGCGCACGTGCAAACGGGGTCCAAAATGACTTTTGCACGGCACCCTACTAACTGGTCCCCAACCGTGTACCAAATTTGAGCGCAATCGGCCCAGCCGTTCTCGAGATCTGGAAACGCCCCTGCACGTGCGCACGTGCAGTAGCACCCTAACCGCAACACATGGGAATGCATTGCCTGGTGGGTGCCTACCTGTATGCCAAGTTTCAGCGAAATCGCCCCAGTAATTACCGAGTTACGGAAATGGGAACAAATTTGGCACCTCTTATTGTTGTATTTTGCACGTGCACTGGGGGTGACCCACATGCATCGAGAGTATCCTAGTTTGGGTAGAAGGGATGCTGCTACCCTACAAAAATTACCGCAAGTCAATCGCTCAAGCGGCTGCTGTGATATGAGCCTCTCAAAATCACTACTTTTGCAAAACAGCTTGAACACCCTTGACTTTTCACGTGGCACGTGCCACGACGGTCACTGAGATGTATCAAAAGTAGTCAATTACGGGGTAGAAGGGATGGGGCTACCCAACAAAAAAGACCGCAGGCCAATCGGTCCAGCGGTTGCTGAGATATAAGCCTCTCAAAAGCGTTACAGGCCGGGCCGGGCCGGGCCGGGCCGGGCCGCTCATACTGAGATTTTTCCGTTATATTGAAAAGACTCACTTCGCTCGCTGCGCTCGCTCGCTCGTAATAATACTAATGATAAGTCAATAAGAGCAAATTGAAAGGCGTCTCATTTGGTCTGGGCGGGTCATTCTTAACACCCTCAAACATCGGGTTACATGTTAACAGTGGCATGAAAACGGTCAACAGCAGTTTTTTTTTACTATAACTTTTGATAGACGTGCTAGAGCGATGAAAACACGTCAGATGTGTTCAGCTCGACGATACGGATTACGGATCGACTGATATGCAGCATGACCCTTTCCGGTCAGGTCATGACCTTGGCCTGACGTAAAATTTTCAAAATGGCCTTTCAAGGTCAACCTACGAGTATAGTTCATTCGACGCGTCTCGACGAGAGGAACACGATGCTGGCAAAAGTAATGTCGTGGCTCGTTTAAGTCAAAAGTTATTACCGAAAAAAACGTTTTTCGTAAACACGCCTATTTTTGGAGTTTTTTTTTTGCCCTCTGGAGGCTACACCGTTGACCTGAGGTCAAATCTATGAATAAAACTCAGAAAGACCTGTGAAAGAGCTATCGAATGCGCTTTTCCGCGGCGCTGTAGTTCTATTGGTTCTCAAGTTATGCGTCGGGTGTTTCGAAAACTGTTGAAATAGTCAAAATTTGCCTTTAATGACCTCTGGTAACCTGACCTTTGACCTGACCTAAAAAATGACTGAAGTATTTCCGCCATTATTTTTACGCTCTTTGGAATGCCGCTTACCCCGTGTGGCTACGTGGCCCAGAAGCCGAGTTAGGGGGGGGGGGCGGGCGGGGGTTTCATACACCCTCGGCCCGGCGCGGTTGGTACCGTGTACCGGCCCGGCGTGGGTTTTTACTTTATGCAAGTATACCTATTTGTGAAAGTTTCAGGTTTAATTTAATCGGCAGATGAATATTTATCAAAAATATACTCATGAAATATATGTAAGAGATGACATCTATCGGAAAATTACCCATTTCACGATGGACGCTAGGTCGCCCACGTGGGTATGAAAACAACGATTTTCATGACAAAGGATACAATCTCAAATACTTAACCTGTCTCTAACGATTCTTGCCATTCTCATTTATACCATAGGTATCTTCTAAGCTAGCTGAGAAACCATGTTCCGCAGAAAAATCACTTAATTAGCTCCGACACGACGCTCTCAACACGCACGAGGCCGGCCGCTTCCTTAGTGAAGATAGTTCACCTAAATGCCCACCAGGTGGCAGGGGAGACAGGTCGCGGGGGGGAGTTGCCGATCCGTTATGTGATCCGTGGTTCGATCGTGTCCGCCCCGTCCCCCTCCCCCTTGGTCTCCTCGCCCGCTCGTCACCTACAATGCGCTATGGTCCAATGAGCGCGTGCATTCACTACATTAACGTACGACTGTACCCACGTCATGAGAACGGGAACGAAGGACGTACGGAGACGGATCGATCGGCCGAGAATGGCGAACAATGTGTGGGTGTGGGTGGAAAGGGGGGGCTGAGACCCCCCAGTGACCGAATGCAGGTCAGTTGTCTGGGAATCAGACCAGCGCTACCGCAAATCGAAGCCTCCTCACACCTCAGGTAGTGTTATGAAGAACACCTCCGGTAGTGAGTCATAGGTACAGACTAGCCAATGCTGAGTGTCCATGAGGCTTCGAGGAAAAGGAACTTCATTTATAAGTAACTGTTTTGGCGATGATAAGATGGTATCTACAAGTGTGACCTGATGCAATAACAAGCTGAAGTGAGCTCCTCGTCTATGAAGGTCGTTATACTAGTCGCTATAATGCGCGGGAAGAAGTTGATAACTATGCTATATATTTTTTCCCATAGGTATCACATTCGTACACCACAGTTGGGGTTAACAGCCAGCATTCGCAATCATCTGCCTTACTAAGAAAACTCAAAAGGATTACGGCAGAACAAAAGGGGAG